AGTCAGGTTCCTGAGCTGGTAAGGCAAGGGCGGGGAGAGAGTTCTGCTCAGCCCTCACCAGGGCAGAGATCCGAGGGGAGGTTGCTCATCTTGGCCCATGGTGGGCATTTCTTTTGAAGAGGAAGAGGCCTTGGCTGAGCGGGACTTGTTTGTCCCAAGGTGGGCTGGAATGAGCCTGGGCAGCCTTCTCTGCTGCCATCATCCTCAGCTGTTTACAGCTCCCTGGGACTGAAGTGTTTACTTTCAAAGGAGAATGTCTGGCTTTCAGCTCTGGTTCTGTTGGCTCATCTTTTGCAATAGATGACACAGATGGGTTTTTGGGTAACCCAGGTGACTTTCACACATATAATCAGTGCATAAATGGTCAGAGAAGAGATTATGAAAAGGAAAGTGTATGTTTTGTAAACATATGCCCTGTTTGTTAGCAAAAAAACTAACAAGGCCTTACGAGCCAACAAGGTTGCATACATTCAAATTGGGGTAAAAGAAAAGAATAACAAGCATACAATTAGAAAACAGAGACAGAGATTAGACTTGAACAGTGCTACAGAGGAGCACACGTTTGGCTCTGAGCTCTCTTGCAGCCAAATCAGGAAAGGAAACCTGGTCAGAAATCAGCAGAGGGCAGAGGATAGAGCAAAGAGCAGTGAGGCTTGGGGGGTGGGGGGTGGGGCTGTCCTAATGCTGGGCATCCCTGAAAACCCTGAATGGAGAGAGAACTTTGATCTTTATCATGGCATGTTGTTAGTTGTGTGTTTTTCTCAGTGCTGGTGGATATGTAGTGACCCTTCTCACCAGTGCTGAATATACATGCTCATCTTCAGTTGATATTTCTAGATTGCGGTATGCTTTAGTCCCACCCAACTTCTACCTTTATGTCAGGACACTTAATTACTTTTCACAAATATCTCCTTCTGTGTGAGTAGTGCTGAAAACAGCTCAGTGCCTCATCAACCTAGGGTGAAGATTAAATCAACATGCACTTTGATTTCAGTCCATGTTCAGTTTTCTGATATGGGTGATGATCTTGCATGATAATAATGATAACAATACTTTGTCTTTATTCATACTTTTATAGTTTATAAAGCAATTTTTAAGTACTTAATTTGTATTTTTTTTTCACATTCCTGTGAAGCAGATTGTTTGTCTTGCTTCGTGCTTGGGAGTTGTAAATGTTAATAAGAGAACTGAGAGCAAGAAGAAACTGGAACCTTCTATTCTTCAACCAGTGTACAGCTGTCTTTGCAACTAACTGCTTTGGTTTCCTTTTGTTTTGTAGAATATGCCTCCATGTAGTCATATTGATGCTTTTTGCAGTAGTTGTTTTGGAGTGATAGAAAAGTTGAGAAAATGAATCTCAAGTGTCCTTCACTCTGTTGAAGATCTATTTTGCATTCAAATTAGTGGTCTTCATTCTGTGGCTCCCCCATGAGATGTTAGGATGAGACAAGGGAATCCTTTGGCAATAGTTGGCCAAGTGTGAAGTGTCTCCTGGAATGCTCCTTTCTCGAGAACTGGTCGCTTCCTTCTCTCTGAAGAGCACAGAGGAGAAACAATGGGCCAAAAGGCCTGAGGTCTTGGCAGATCCGGGGTTGAGCTTGGACCACAGATTCCTGGTCCAGTGCCTTTATGTGAACGAAGTCTTGCTCACTTCTCTCCCACAGATCCAGGAGGTAGTGCGGGATGGGGACAGAATGGGGATCATGTGTGATGAGGTGCCTGCCTCCAGGCAGGGCACTTAGCTGGCCTGTCACTGCTTCTAGGGCCTTAGTGAGGTGGAAACCACATGAGTATGGATATCATGTTGGTTTGGAGTTAGCAGTCACCATGTGATGTGTACTTTTGGATAAAAAATCTTTGAAAGCATAAATCACAGCTACCACCCCTTCTACCGCCCCATCTCACATGCTGCTCTGGCCTCTTATCTCTGCTAACCTCTTACTGGCTTTGCTAGAGGTTTCCAAGTTGCTTGACTCAACTTGCCAGTTGTATCTCAGGTCTCATCTTCCCTGAATTGGGGTGAGCCTCTAGCACAATTGATCTCACCCTTCTGCTTGGTACACCTTCTTCTGGTACTGTCCTCTCTGAGTTCTGCAGCCTCACATGCCACTTCCTTCTCCTTGTCCTCATTTTAGAATGATGTCACAGGATTCCATCCCCATGTCTCTTTTCTCTCTTGCCCATTCCCTAATGGTCTTTCTAGTCCCAAGGATTTAAATAGGATGACCCTCCCCTGTTGTGTCTCTGGCATTGTACTTGACTGCCTAATTCACTCCACTGTATACATTCCCAAGAAACCCATTAGAGGTCTTTCACCCCAGCCTATGCCTCAGCAGCTTCCTCCCCTCAGCCGATGGCTTCGTCATTTTTCTAGTTGTTTTGCGTAGAGATTGTCCTTTGTTGTTACATATTTTCTGCTTTTCTCCTTCCCTTCTATTTCCCAGTTTTCCAAGCTTCTGTCCTGTGTTTCTCCATACTGCTGCCCCCACCCCCTCCCAGACTTTCCTGCGGGCTCCCTGTGTCTTTGTTTACTCCCTTTCTCCTTGCTCCTGTGGGTGTCTTCAGCATCTCTCTGAGATCCATTGTTCACCGTCCTTTGGTGACATGCTGTAGTCATCCTGTCACACCTCTGTCTGTCCCTTTGATTGCATCTCTCTCTGCTTGGCTACGGGGGGACCATTCATTTGCTCTTCAGAAAGCCCAATATTAGCTAGATCCGGGCAGCTTTCACACAGGGATGCCTATTCCATTTCCTATTCCTGGGGAAGAAACGAACCATCCTATCCTCTCTGGTGCATCCCACAAACAACATCTACAGCAACATAGTTTCATGACCGTTTCCACTGATTTTTTATCCCAACCACGCTCCTGAACTCAGTGGTTTAGGAGACCCCAGAATTGTCACCAGCCCCAGAGGACAAACTAACCTGAAGAGGGACTGATATAGCCAATTTGTCAGTTTCTCTCTAGAGTTTAAATTTTATTTCCCCCAATTGATTAAATAGGCCTATAAAAAGAGAGCTGGTAAGAGCCTTTTATACATAGCTTTAAAAAAGTCAGTAACATGGTAGATGGAAAAATCATTGGATTTTTTAAAAACTCATTTGCCATATCTGCAGTGCAGCCAACTGCCCAAGCTGTAGAAAATTAACTTCAGTTGGGGCACATTCCCAGTGAACATTGCTGTTTGTTGAGAAGCGTGTCTTGGCATTTCTCAAATAAGAAATATTTTCATAGGCAAAATCCATTTAAAATGTAAGCAGGGGTTAAAATGACTTTATAGCTCGATGATCTAAATGACTGCTTCATGAGACTGTGTGCACCCTGTGAGCATCTGTTTAAACCTGTCTTCTGTATCCAAGCGACCAAATCACCTGTTGTTAGGGAGCCAGCCATCAATCAAGCAGGCTAAGAAGCGCTGCCCTAGAGGCACCTACTCTCCTGGCCAGCCTGTGTCCTTTCTCCTTATTGGCTCCCCCATTGCTCCTTAGCACTTGCATTCGTAAGTGGGAAAGAGGTATAGAGGGAGCTGGGGTCCAGGTTTACTACCTGTAGATTCTCTAATAAAAGGCAAGGAAGAAGCATGAGCTTGAGATTCCCAGATATATATTACCCATGCTGCTCTAGGGTTCTAATAGCTATAACCTGTAAATTTACCAAGATGATGGTGGGGTAAGTCTGTGCAGGGATCTCAGGTTAGGGAAGATTCCTCCCTGGGTGCCCTAGGCACGCATCAATAGAAGCTACTTGGGGTGGGGTTTATGTATGTCACCACTAGGTAGAGTAGGTAGTAGACATAAGCCAAAAACCATCAATTCAAAGGAAATACACTAGGGCCTCCCCGGTGGCGCAGCGGTTGAGCGCTGGGTTGCGAGGCTGCCCGCGGCCTCCGCAGCACCGGTTCGATCCCCGGCTGCTCCCCCGCCATGGGAGGAGGGTCCCACAGGGCGCGCAGACCTCTCCTGCCGCCCGCTGCTCCCCTCAGCGGTGTACTTCGGTCCTTCTGCCTGCTCTGCTCCCCGCTCTGGCTCTGGTGAATTCTCTCACCCTCCCGCACCTCTGACTGTACCCAGTGCTTGCATAAATAAATAAATCTTAAAAAAAAAAAAAAAAAAAAAACAAACAAGGAAATACACTAAATTATTGGGCTTAGATTTTAAAAAGAAGTCATTTACAAAATTGTTCAAACCTAGTCTAAGCCTGTATATTTTCTAAAACCATTGAACTAGACAAGAAGCATAATATCCATTTATCTCAACAGAGTACCAGTTGAATTGGCCTTTTCTTCACTTTGAGACCCCTGAAGAGTAGGAAGCTGTAGTAGCACCCTTAGTGTTTGAAATTGGCCTTTCTGGCCTCGTTACCTCTGCATTGGCCTAGCATTGATACTTGCTCAGGATTCAATTCCTTTATGACTTATGCAGGGATGAATCATTGTAGCTACTTTATTTAGATGGAAACTGAAGCAGAGTGGCCAAAGTGTCTTGCCCAAATTTATACAGTCTCCCAGTGGTGGAACTGGGCCTGGGAGCCAACACTTCTGGTACATGATGTGGTGGAACAGTTAATGCCTTGAAGGGCACCAGAGCTTCTTCGGTGGGGATGGCATGGGAACACTGACACTGCTGCCAGAAGCTTCCTAAGGATGTAGATGCCTCAGGCTGTCTGCCTCTCACCTGGAGACAATCTGAAAAAGCCCACTCCTGAGGAGTCCCTTGAGGAACCCCAAATAAGGGGGAGGCTTGGTGAACTTCTGTGTTTCTCTCCTTCTGAGGGACTCGACTTGCCACACTATAGTAATCCTAATTCTAAGACTGTATGCTGCTGTCTTTTTTGAAATATTCAAAATCCATTTTAAAATCTTGCCATGTGAAGCAGTCTCTTTAAATTGCTGTTCTTTATTTCTCTTTCCATTTTAAAAGCTGATGTGGAGTCTGGTGTTTTTCCTTAAGTCAAATCATCATCATGAATATCAAGGTTTATCTGTTTGTGTCTTGCAGACATTCTGAGTGAAAGTCTTCAACCCATTTTGGAAAATGGTGGCCCTGTCCTTAAAGATTTGTGTCCGCCACTGCAATGTGGTGAAGACTATGCAGTTTGAACCATCTACAGCCGTGTATGATGCGTGTCGAGTCATTCGGGAGCGGGTACCTGAGGCACAAACCGGCCAAGGTAGACCATTGGTTATTCACTGGCTTCTGGAAATGTTTGCATGTCCTTTGCTGAATAGCTAAAAAAAGAAACAGAGGTCTCGAAGTGCTTGAGGCTGTAGGCATACATGCTTTAAATGAAGTTTTTTAGTCTGAATACTACTTGCTTCCTATGTGAGGCTTATGGTGATGGTGACCATGTCTGCTACGATATTATCACACCTACCCCCATCAGCACGATCCTCCCACATGTCCGCATCGTGCTCTGCAGTTTATGAGTCACTTCATGATCTACCAGCTCATTTGCCCTATGAAGTACTGATGAAGCTGCCCAAGCAACCAGCTTTTCTCCATCCTGAGCCCTGTTTCACATGCAGGAAAATGCTGCTCTCGGAGCTTAAGCAAGATTGGAACTGCCATCAGGATCCAGGCAGGCTTTATATTTCAAGTACTTTAGGGGCTTTATAAACTTCATCTCAAACATTTAATTAAAAGACATTTTGTGATACAGGTTTAAATGATTGACCACCATTAATCTGAGTTTAAACAAAAGCCTTTGGTTGTTTTCTATCTTCTTTTTGTTTTCTCTCTACATTTAATTTCTTTCTTTAGTTTGACATTTGAGAAGTTGGGATTATTCCCAAATTGATGTCTTTAGTGTGAAAGTGAATAGACCTTATCTTAGAAATTGGAAGTGTAAACTTCAAAAATAACATCAAGGGTAATTATAATAGGATGGGTCTTCTCAAAAACATCTGTTTCTCACAAAACTTGGTGATCTTTTGGCCTAAAAGCATTATTTACATTTTTTGAAACACTATTATTTTTAGCTTACTCAGAAACAAAAATAAAGTTTGCTCATAGCCTCAGTCTCAATTCAAGAATTGGTTGTCCAGTCATTTTGGTATCTTTACTTTTCTATCACTGTTTTTCTCCCAAATTTAAAATATCTTTGGATGAACAGCTATTGTCAGGAAAGTCATGATGTATATTTTCTATGTTATTCAAAGAAAAAAATACATCGTGAATTTTCCAGTAACCCATTATATGGCTCTGGTGAAGGTATAAACCTTTATAGATCTTGAAGTTGGTTTTCTGAGAAATAGCAGGAGCACTGGCCCGCATCTGGGACTCTGATGTTCCTTTGAATCACATTCAGGAAGAGAGAAGTCTTTAGGCAGGAAATGAATATTGCTCTCTTCCTGACACCACCCTCTTTTACTTCCTGGGTCGGATTAAGGAATTTCTCTAGAGATTGCAGAATTTAATTTTCTAATGTTACTCATAATTTGGTGGTAGTGGGGTGCAAGGTATTCATGAGAACCTCCTACTTATCTTTTATAATCTATGTTGGGATGATGGAGGGGTGATTTGAGGTATAAACATTCCATTGGCCCCTCTTTGCCCAAGAGACCTTGGACTTAGGCAGTCACTTCATTATGAATTCATTCACTTAATTAATTTTTCCACAGCTGCCTGGGTTTCCTGGTTCATTTTTCATAATAAGAGATAGGGAAAGCCAAATTCAGTCAGAAGGAAATTTGCACTGCCCTATTCCTGATGTTTCCCAAAATTATAAACAGCGCTCCTGCCTGCTGGTTTTAAGGAACGTGAAGCTATCTGTGGGCATTGTTTTTGCAGCTCCACCCGTACTCCTCATCTGCTTTTGTTCCAGTGGCTGCTGGTACGATCAAAAGGAATCATTTCTCGGGTAAAGAACACCTACCTGCTTTCTAAGTCAGCAGGCTCGGGACCTGGGAGCCAGCTATGGCTTCATCACCACTTCGTCTTTCATTTTTTCTTTCTGTTTGTCTTCCAGCTTCTGACTATGGGCTGTTTCTCTCAGATGAAGACCCCAGGAAAGGGATTTGGCTGGAAGCGGGTAGAACACTGGATTACTACATGTTACGCAATGGGGTATGCTGCTGATCTCGCTTCTGTTCTTTCATCACTTTGTCCCTGGGCCTTCCATAGAAGCGAATGTTATCATACTGAAAAGAAGAGAACCAGCCATCGATTTTGATTCAAGGACATTTATTAATAGTTTTAATGTAATGCACTTTGTAAGGGCTGTTGAGGTAGTGGTAGAAAACATCAGCAGTCCAAATTTTTGAAAGTCCACAGAGTAATTAAAGCATCATGGAGTTAGCGGTTTATACAAGTTCCAATTACTACTGTTAGACTGGTTCGCTGTGAAATAAGAGCGAGCATCTTCCTGTAAGTATGTAGGGAAGTAACCCTGTAGCTGAGGGTAATACCAAAACTATAAGGTAGCTGGAGATTGACTATTAATCACTGTTTTTGTAAAATATGTATTTGAAATGTGAGTTTAATAACTATCAGTCACAGTAATAACACCAAAAAATGATTGTTGTTTTGGAAGTGAGGAAAAGCAACGAGTAAAATGTATTGAACCCAAGATGTTGGGTTTTGGTATTTGGAGGGGATATTTGGTATATTTTTTTCTTTGAAAAACATAGAAAAACATAATAGATTGACCAGTATTTCACAAAGCAAGAGTGAAGTATGTGGCGCCAATTAATTTTGCCCTCCATATTTTTATTTTTAAGAAGTGTTGCAAAAAAACAAAATAGTCTTGTTTTACAATAACTCCCTAACTTATTTCCCCTTGTTTGGCCTTGTCATTATTGTGAAAACCATTTCTGCCATGATATACAGCTATTGTGGAGAATTACGGGGGTGTTATTTATGTCCTTCAAGACATCTATATGTTGAAAATTGCTGATAGCAGCACAGGAGATAATTGCAGAAGCATGCTAATACTGCCTTTTGAAAAGCAAGTCAGAATTTTCCTCTGTTAATTCTTATTAGAGCAGATTCCTCCTCGTCTTTTGGGAGGACGTATGCGCCTTTCATTTCACAGAGGTTCATTTTCTGTGACTGTGAGCTACAAATAGTACTTTGAGTGCAACTCTACTATCAGATCTTTTTTTTTTTAAAGATTTATTTATTCATGCATCCAAGAACTGGGGTACAGGCCAGATGTGGGGGAGGGTGAGAGGATTCACCAGAGACAGAGCAGGGAACAGAACAGGCAGACTGACTGAAATACACTGCTGAGGGGAGCAGCGGGTGAGGCAGGAGAGGTCTGCAGCGCCATGTGGGATTCTTGCTGGCCTGCCAGCCTGGATCGAACCTGCGCTGCAGAAGTTGTGGACAACTTCACAGCGCTGCGCTCAACTGCCTGTGCCACCAGGGGAGGCCCTCTACTATCAGATCTTTATGAAATCTTTATGGAAGCAATTGTTTAGCACTGGAAATTTTGCATTAGTGATAGAAACCTCATGAAATCTTTCATGGAGGAAATCAGAGTCTGTTGGGAAAAATTCCTTTTAAAAAGTGTGTTCAGGTGTGTTTATAGTTTCCTGGGTAGCATGAAATGTTTGTGTGATTTTGCCCTAGGATATTTTGGAATATAAAAAGAAACAGAGACCTCAGAAAATCCGGATGCTGGATGGATCTGTGAAAACGGTGATGGTGGACGACTCCAAGACTGTTGGGGAGCTCCTGGTTACTATCTGCAGCAGGATAGGTGAGTGTTCCCCTGCCTTGGCTCTGGTTTTCAATTCTTTGTTTCACCCCTGTTTGGTGTGTAGGTGGTGTATGTGCTCTAACACAGAGATTTCTCCCAATTCCAGAAAGGATGTCGATTCTCCCAATTTGCAGGCCCCACTAATGGCATTGTAAACACCAACTTTTCACTAAGTCACAGTTAAAGGGAGAGTTTTTATTTTCATTTTAGGCACTTACAGGAATTTTCATCCTGAAAATGATGTTTTTGAAATCATGTACTTCAATCTCTCAGCTATTGCTGGGACTCTGGCACTGACTTACAGAATCTTCCTGAAGATTCATGGTGAGAGTCTATATAAGATTTAGTGACCTAGTCTCCTCAGAGAGCAAGTCTTCCTTCATAGGAAGTCTTTCTAGTATTTGAAGAAGATAACTTTTTTTTAGTCCCTTCAGCCACTTACTGTTTCTCATTCTCATGCCTTCTACATCATCTCTACATTGTTCTTGAACGTTACAGAGGAGACTTGATCTTGACAATTTGAGTGACTTCACTAGCTGAATCTCATCCTGGTAGGCTTATTTGATGTGTGCTCCTTGGGTGGCCCCTAGATGCTCAACTTGGATAGGCCATTTTCTTTTCTTTTTCAAAAAGATTTATTCATTTATACATACAGGAACTGGGACACAGGCCAGAGGCACAGGGGGTGAGAGGATCCACCAGAGACAGAGTAGGGAGCAGAACAGGCAGACTGACTGAAATACACTGCTGGAGGAAGCAGCGGGCTAGTCAGGAGAGGTATGCTGCACCATGTGGGTCAGCTCCCTGGCCAGAGATCGAATTCTTGCTGCAATGGCTGCGGTTAGCTTCATAGGTTGTATCTTAACACCTTGCGCCACCAGGAAGGCCCCGGAAAGTCCTTTTTCTATCCTTTGTCACCAAGGACCCCTTGGAGTATTACAGGCTTGAAGCAGAAAGGAGTCGATAATAAGGCAATTATTTAAATTGTAACCTAATTTCTGTCTTCTAGGAATAACAAACTATGAAGAATACTCTTTAATCCAAGAAACAATTGAAGAAAAGAAAGAGGAAGGGACGGGCACACTAAAAAAAGACAGGACGCTGTTGCGAGATGAGAGGAAAATGGAGAAGTTGAAGGCCAAGCTCCACACAGACGACGACTGTGAGTGTCTGAGAAGGAAGTGTGATGGAGACTTGTGTTTCCCACATTTCACTCCTCTCCCTTCCATCTGTATATTCCAGGGCTGGAGTTTTTGGTTTTCATTTAATCTGCAAAGATACTGACAGAAAAAAAGCTGACTGTAATACCATTTCACATCCAAAAACTAAATCTCTTAATATCAAAAATACCAATCATGCTTGCATTTTCTCCTAACATTTTTTTTTAACAGTTAGTGTGAGCTGGGCTCCAAATCAGGTTGGATGCTATGCTGCTCTTACCTCTTTTAGTCGCAGGTTTTTCCCCTCATTTCTTTTATTTTTTCCTTACACTTTATTTTGGAGGAAGAAACCAGACTGTTGGATATATAGTTTTTCACTGTGTGAATTTTGTTTCTTGCACATTGGCAGTATCATCTAATGTGTTTTTCGGTTCCTTTTAGTTACTAAGAGCTGGAGGCTGAATCAGATTCATGTGTGATTTTTTTTCAAACTGAGATAACATTAGTTTACCGTATGTATTGATTTAGGGGGATAGGGTCATACCTCCTCAAATATATGTCGTCATGTCATCTACTATCAAAGCATCCATAGTCCATTTGGTCCCCACCCCACCTTCCCTGTAATAGCCTCAGTTCTTCAGTCAGATTTCTAAGGTTTGTTTCGCCAGCCTCTTTGTTTTGTTTTTCTGTATTCAGTCATATGAGTAAAATCTTCCATGCATTTGTCTTTCTCTTGATTTTCTTCATTTGGCATAATCCTTTTTAGTTCCATCCATGTTGTTACAAATAACAAGAGTTTATCTTTTTTATAGCTGAATAGTATTCCACTGCAGTTATATACAACATTTTAATCTACTCCACTGTCAATGGGTACTTAAGTTGTTTCCATAACTTGGCTATTGTAAATAGTGCTGCGATAAACAGGACTGTATGTGTCCCTACAAATTGTGTGTGTATTGTTTTTTTTAATAAGGGCTCTTCCTTATGTGCCCTTATGTATTTCCATCAGGAAGTTATATGTGGTTATCTCCTTTTTTGTGATGTCGGTGGCCATTGATAATCGCGTAGGTCCATTATTTCCTCAGGTCTTCCAAATGGTAACATAATTCCATCATAGAAAAGTCCTTTTCGGTGTCCACCCAATTAATTTATGGAAAAACCAATGTGTACACCTCATGTGTCCCCAAAGCCTATGCTGTGTGTACTCAGCTGTCTGGTTCCTTCTCAGGGGATCTTACTTCATGCACAGTTCACTTTGATTCTCCAGCCTCTGTCCTTCATTGCTTGTGCTCTTGCTGCTGCATTGGGAAGATGTCATCATTCTCATTACGTTTATTGATTTTCGGTGGGACTTTTATTTCCTCTAGCTCTTTCTCTATTCTCTTTTTTTCTGACTCATTTGATTTCTAGTTTCATACTTTCTTCCAAATGGGGCTTTAGTAGACAAATCCTCAGGATTTTTATTACGTGTATGATCCTCTCTCAGCTACTGAGGTCAGTCTAACACATTCCCTGTGCTATATTGTTGCTTATATTTTAGTGAGGCTTATTGTAAATACTTACCCACATGTGTGTTAAGCCCAGGGAATTGGGCCTACCTGGTGGCACAGGCAGTTGAGTGCAGCGCTGTGAAGCTGTCCGCAGCCTCTGCAGTGCCAGTTCGATCCCTGCCAGCCTCCAAGCATCCCACATGGAGAGCGGACTTCTCCTGTCTTGCCTGCTGCTCTCCTCAGCAGTGTATTTGTCAGTCTGCCTGTTCTGTTCCCCGCTCACCCTCCCGCGCATCTGGCCTGTACCTCGGTTCTTGTATAAATAAAATAAAAAATCTTAAAAAAAAAAAAAAAAAAAAGCCCAGGGAAGAGTGTAGGAATGAGAGCTGTGACTGATGCTGAGGAGTGATCCATTTCTGTGCACCTAGATACCAGGCAAATGTTTGTGGGAGATCCAGCTGAGCCATGGACAGGATCCTATCAACTCCCCCTTCTTAGTGTCCTCTCTTCCCCTCCTCCCCATTACTTTTGTTTTCCTCTTTTCTACTTAGGATCAAAGGTAACTCATCATGCTTAGAATATGTTAATTACTTAATGAGACTAAAGTGTCTACTCTAATTTAAAGGAAAGTTCTAACTTGGTTGTCCTGGCATATTGTAAATTTATTGTGGTGCTTTAGCTAACTTGAGAATGGTAAGGAATTTTCTCTCATTTGCTTCACGGGATGGTATATGTAAAATTATTTTGCAAAGTTAAAAAACACAACTTTAATATAAAGATTAGCTGTAACTAAACATCACATATTATAGAAATCTGCATCTGCATCTCACTGCTGTTTTGATAAATCCCTGTTCACTAAGAGGAAAAATAAACACTTCTTTCATACATCTTGTCATGTTGCAGTAAATTGGCTGGACCACAGTCGAACATTTAGAGAACAGGGCGTCGATGAAAATGAAACGTTGCTGCTTAGACGGAAGTTCTTTTACTCGGATCAGAATGTAGACTCAAGGGACCCGGTGCAGCTGAACTTGCTGTATGTTCAGGTACAGTATTTAGTCCTCAGACACTGGGGTTGCTGAGATTTCAGGAAGCTACTGTGTCCTGTGAGCAGGAGCTTGGCTCTGCCTTGCTCTGTGTTTGTGGTATCCAGTTTCTAATGGGCACAGCTCATGGGTTCCCCACACATATTCTGGGTATGGTATAGACAAGTATTCAGCATGAGAGGCAGGATCTCCAGGAGAGGGCCTCTCTTGGCCTTGCTTTGGCCTCCCTGATTAGAACCTGTGGCTGGTGGTTTCTCTCTTCCTGGCTTTGAAAGGCATTTAGCTGGCTTACCATTTTACATGCACTAAAGTTTTCTTGGTTCACATCTTAGAATACAAGTGAATGTACTTCTCATTAACTGAAAGCTGTCCTCTCAATAACCTTTTATATCCTTATTGGAAACTGTTTAAACTCATGCAAGTCCTTTATCTTACCATGTTGCGGTTTCCCAATGTGTAAGATGTATACTTGGCTCTAGATGAACCCCCAGTGCTTCTTTTTGGTTCAAGGAAAAGATCCATATTTCTTTGTTCTTATCTCCAGCTCCTCCTTTTCTTTCATTCTTTCCTTCCCTTGATTAATCTCGCTCCCCATAGACATAGACAGGGGTCAGAAAAATGCAGCCATGCTGTCTGCCTGAATTTATAAATAAAGTTTTATTGTAACATTGCTCATTCATTTATGTATTACATGTTGGTAAATCCCCTTACACGTTACATAGTTGTTGACATGTTGTCCGTGGCTGTGCTCATGTGAGCAGAGACTGGGATAACCCATAAGGTCTAACTAGGCCTTTACTGGAAAAGTTTGCTGAGCCCTGTCTAATTGGATGGAAGAATGGCATGTACGGAGAGCTAGGAGGAAAGGGACAGGAAGGGAGCTAGTGGGACAATAAGAAAATGCTTGTCTTGAGGTTCAGAGCATAGCTTAGAGCATCCATCTGAGAGCAGTGTGGGGTCATTTAACTAGAGATAGGAAAAAGAGAAAGAAGGGGAATAATTAGCAATAGCAGTGATGGATTAAGAACCGGGAGGGGAACCACAGATACAGTGTGTTTGCAATTCTAGCTTCTAAGTTTGTGCATTGACATACCATTTCCTCTAAATATCTGCAGTATTGGATATTTTCTCTCTCTCTCTTCGATTGCCTTTATCTTGACATGGAGATTGGATTGATTCTATTTCTAGATACATTCTCTGTTAGCTTTGTGACTTAGGGCCATAAAAAGTAAATTGTCTTTCTTTTTTCCTCCCCTCTGACGCTAGTCATTTCACAAGGATTTCCTCTTGCCTCTATTTTGCATGCTCACTTCTCCCTTCCTAGATTATACTCAAACTTAAGTTTTAATACACTCGATATTGCTGATGCTTTCTGTGTATAAGCCATTTTGGGCAAAGACTTTCCATCTGCTTTAGTCCTGTGCTACTGTCACCTAAAGCAGCCGGATTGTATCACTGTGGGTTGCTCGGCACTTTTCCCTTGCTCCACGGGGCGGGTGCATCTGGGTGCAGAAATATATCAATGGATAATGTATCTTCCCCCCAAGCGTCTGATGCTTTTGCTTCCTCTTGTGTTTCAGGCTCGGGATGATATCCTGAACGGCTCCCACCCTGTCTCCTTTGAGAAAGCTTGTGAGTTTGGTGGATTTCAAGCCCAGATACAATTTGGACCTCATGTAGAACATAAACACAAACCTGGATTCTTAGAGTAATTGATCTTTTGTTTTTCTTTTTTCCCCCTTTTGTCGTCTCCTCTTTTTTTCACTATTTAATTTTGAAGCGCCTATGCAAAATGCACACTCTAGTGCCACTCAATTATGGAATTATTAGCTTTTACTCAGTTAAGTACAAGATCAAATTTGTAAACCTTGGGGATAGCAAGAGCCTGGAACTTCAGTGCTGGGATGACTATGAAGGTCATCTCCTCCAAATTCAGCCAGCGTGTGACTCCCTCTAGTCTACAGTCTGTATGTAGTACCCCCACCAAGCCATTGTCTAGCCTATTCTAGGATATCTCTGGAGTTAAGGAACTCGGACCATTAGAACATTCCTTTTCAAAACTGGATCAAATTTTATCTTCTTTCCTTTCTTTGTATGAATGACTCTTGTACTAGAATGACAGTACTTATTGTTTATGTTCTGTATTACGATGTTATGAATTTTTCATTGCTCGATTGCTCACAAAGTGTGATACATACATGAAGTGCTTGATCCCCTCTTTTCACCCATTTAGTCATTGGTTCTCACTGATAAACTAATAGGGTATTTTTTTCTGATTCAATACTCAAAAGAAAATTAACCCTACAAAGCATCATGGCCCACAGTTCATGGGACTTAGGGAGTGTATACTAAGATTTTGTATATTTCTTGCTTTGATGACATTCCTTTATCACTCACTACTTCCCTTTCCTGCTTTATCTTAGTACAGATGAAACATTTGACTGAGAACACACACACACCCAACACAACGCAACACAACACCTCACGCCAAAGGGTCTTGACGTGATGACCTAGAGTCTAACTTGTAGAGACTTTGAAAGTGGGACCAGATGTGAATGCTGACCAGGGATAAATGGATGTCAGCTTTTCTCTAGGTTATGCCAGCATGACATGTGTTGAGAAGATTATACATTGTGTTGTGTCTAAATATATTGAGGGGAGAGGGTAATGTAAATGCTTATTCGGCCTTTGACCCCATTTTCATTTTGGTGGAAACTAATTGGGATCAGCATATACCCTGGAATAAGAAGGAAATGTGACTTTTCTCCTGGTAGCAGAGGATGCCTGTGCTACTGTCCTGCTACACGCTATTTGGGCTAACCCGAGTTATTACAAAAAAAAAACTTTAGTCTTGGGTAATGAATCCCCAGGACCTTTCCAAAGTGATGCTTTGTTCAATAACATACTGTACGGTGACCCTGAGTCTCTCTGGTGCTGAGCAGATCCTGTCGCTTACTTTGCTCTGTATTTTCCAAATGAGTCCTATGGCTAAGTGTCCTTCAAGCCCATTTTTACCCAGTTGGTCTGGTTTTCTTTGTGCAAAAGCAGCAAGAAGCTTGCCTTTTTCTCAGATCTGTGACATAACATGTCTTATGAAAGATCATGAGCACAGGATTCTTTAAGGAGTTTCATATTCCCACATTCTAGCCTCACAGCTCTCCCCTCAGACAAATTTCGTTTCCTATGCCTGTGGATTATAGCAGTGGAAATGAATAAACACCAAGAACTGGTTAGGGCCTGGACGAAACAACGTATTTTCTGTTTTCTCTTTTAATGACTGATGAAGAATGGGAGAAAATGGAGAGCACGTTTATAAACCAAAAATTTTTTAAGTAAAATGTTTACCCATGTTTAGATGCTTATAACTATAAATCTAAGTGGTCCCGATGAGAAAGGTGATCCAAACGTAGCCGTCTGTTGACTTCCTTAACAGATGATGATGCTATACTTTCATTAATGCCTTTTCTCTTGTGCTTTGGGTTAGCTAATCCTCGGGGCCATCTGGAGAGTTGAGAAAGCTGTATCTTTTATGTAATAGATATGGAAGAAGAGGCATAAATCTGAGAACTGATTTGTTCAGTTTGTCTGCAATTTGTTTCTGACATGTGACATTGGGCCCTACCACTTGCAAAGGGATGCTTAGTCTCAGGGCAACATTGCCTTTTTCTCTGCTCTCCAGCTATGCCGCAAAAGTAGGAAGGTACTTAAAAATGTCATTATGAGGTGCTTTGTGTTACTGGTTGTGCCGGCTATATCATGGCAAATTCATTGTACCACTCACCATTTGTGTGGAGATTATAGACAGTGTGAGAAAATTAGTATTGCTCACATGGTGTCTACTGCAATTTATGGGCCTGTCGAATGTGGCTTCCCTGTACTCCATTAAAGATGTCCCTTCTCTTAATAATCTAGGTAGCCAAGGTTAGACAGTTGTATTCAGTCAGTTTTCTTATTTCTGATTATAATGCAAATACCATGTCTCTAGTGGTCTCTGTTCTCTTGCTCAGATTCCAAATTAAAACAAACTTATTATGCCTGCTGGCAATTTTTTTCCTTATGAATTTGATTTACTTTATAATTAGACCAAACCTAGTCTAGGTAATGAGGCATTTTCATTTAATGTAGATGTTTAATTGTGTACATTATTGCACATACCGTACAGGTAAAATTTCCTGTGGATGTTTCTTTCCTCTTAATTAAAGCAAAACAGTGAGATCACATTTCCCTGATTGTGCGTTGCATAATTAGGGCCTGTTTTTTGGGGTAACTTGTCTGGACTGTGCCACTGGCTGACTGGCTGTGTGTCCAGACATTATGTTTTTTCCCCATGTAACTCTCATGTGAGCTGTCCACTTCAACAATTCAGAGTTTTAAAATAAATAGTGCAGAGGTTGGAATTGTCACAGAGCCAGGTGAGAGTCAGGGAGAGATCTCAGCCACATAGCTTCTGGGTGAGGTACTTGGAGGTATGTGTAGTGAAAACATTTCCTCAATTTTTCATCAGACTGCTTCACCTTTCTTCAGACCCTTTAATAATTTCTGCACTCAGTGATGCCTTAGTGAAGGTATTGATACAGAATAATTAAAATCCGAGATAAAAGATTTTCAGAGTTTTCAGGGATTTAAGGATTATTTAATGTCTCCTATCTGCTCTGTAGATGGGGAAAATTAGGTACTTATTTTCAGAGATAGGTTCAGAAGCAGGGAGAGCTAGAAGTCAGAAAACAGCCATTTCTCCCCAGTTGAGTCTCATGTGCCTTTTCTGCACAATACTATTCCTTGAGTCATCTCCAAAGAGTCCCAGAAAGGGACATTTTATCAGAGCATGAAGTGTAAGCAACACAATCTAATAATTAGATATATACGTTATACTCGTTCAGAAGAACAAAAGCATGACATGTGTTCTTCCTTAACTTGTTGAGGACTTTGTGTGTGTTCTAGTTTGTGAGGTATAGAGGAAGTGCAAGGAGATTCTAATTCTGTGCTGTTTTTGAGACTATAGCCTACTTGGCAAATTAACAATGTGAAATTATTGTTATAGAGAATTACAACTTGGTTCTGATTTCAACAAATTCTAAACTTTTATACTAAGTTTTGGATGCAGGATAGCCTATTTAGGAGTCCAAAGTTTTTGCAGTGCAGACTGTAAAAATTATTATGGATTATTCTAAAAATGCGGCAAGAGTGTGCTGCACGAAGCAATGTTGATCAAAGAATTTGGCAAAAAAAGAATACAACCACAAAACATATTATAATAACCACTAACTTCTGGACCCTTAAAATCATTGTGGAAAACTTTAAGAAGTGATCAGAGTCAGAGCTTTCTATGAATTTATGGTATCAGAAAAAATTAGATTTACCAATACACTAAAATTGAGTCTATGTTATAAAACAAAGATAGCTCTAGGTGATGCATATAAGTGTTCACTGTGTAATTCTGTGTTTGCGATTTTTTTGTAATAAAATGTTGGGGTAAGATTGGGGTGGCTTAAAAAATAGGAAAAAAAATTTTGTAACTGCAAAACTAGTTTTAGGGAGTTTGGGTGGGAAAGAGATACAAACTTGATAAGAGTTCTGCAAGGTGAATTATGGAAACAAAGCCAGAAATTGTATGGTAAATGGAATGCACAGAAAGAGATAGGCGAAATACTTGCAAATAGTTAAGCATCATAGCTAAATAGAAGTAATCAAATCTACCACTTAATGGAATTTCTCATTTTGAATGGAATTTTTTTTTTCAAGTCTGGTTGTTATTTCTAAGACACACTAAAAAAAACTGAAGCTAGATTAAAGATATTGAAAAATGATACATTAGGATATAAGTTGTATCAAAGCTAGAGAGGTGGTGTCACAGAAAATAAGCTTTGGCAAACAAAGCATAAGTCGAGATAAGGAAAGTCATGATAAAGGTAAGACTAGCTCACCAGGATAACATACTAATTTATTTACCTGTATACACTTAATATTACCTTAAATATGTAAAGGATAAATAAACAGTGTTATAAGGAGAATGTCAGACATACAATTTTAGTGGAATAATTTAATATACCTCCCCCAGCGAGTAATTAGTCAAACAAAATCAAAGAAAGAAATGAAAACATTATAGTCAAAAAAGAAAATACTGAAATAGAAACCATAGAGAGGGTCAAAAGACCTAAAAGAAATCTGGGTAGATCCATTTCAAAAGAAATTGCTTTATCAGTTTAAAATGTACCAATTACAAAATAACAAAACAAAAACTTAGCTTATTTCAGAGGATAAAAAACAAACAAACACCTCCTTACCTTAGTTCAGACCTAGCAGGCCTGTAGTATCAAAATTGAAGACCATAAAAATAGGCCATATAAAACTTTTAAACTGAATATAGTTTCCCTACTCACAAAAATTAATAAAATATTAACTGTTCAATATATATTTCTATGTAAGTGCAAGTTATTACTGAATAGGGTTTCTTCCATGCCTTTATACATGGTAGTTACAAGACTTTGGGGATACAGCAGTGGAAAACACTGTCAAACATTCCTACCCTAGTGGAACTATAGCAGAGAGGCAGGTAATAAGTAGTAATGAATAAGGAAAATTCACAATAAGGAAAGAAAAAATTATCTTAGGATTGAAAAAATGAAACTCATTAGTTGCAGGTGACATGATTATCCATATAGATAATCCCCTCAATCTGCAGAGAAGCTTATTAGAACTAATAAAAGT